TTATACATAAGAGAAAAGAAACATTCTAGATAATTATAGAAGTAAAGTTTTTTTCTTTCCTTTACTATAAAATGAAACCGAAAGAATGCTCACTTAATTCTATAAGAACACAGGAAACTATTCAAGGTTAACCCAGTGCAAACCAAGCTGAGGAACATTATTTGGAAAGCCAATTTGGGCCATGTAGAAAAGATAACTCATGATTCAAATCTGTCCAAAGATTTTGGGCACATCTGGCAAAGTATAAGAGGGTGAGCTTTTCTCCTTGGAGCCTTGTCTTCCCTGGGAAGTTTTTCCCTTGAGGGAAGCATTTTATAATATAGTAATTGAGTAGTAAGAGAGAAGTCTCTTGCTAAAGGCAGTAAAGTAAATGGGTGGGTAGCAAATCTTAATCAGTTATCAGAAGCACCACTAAAAATACCTCTATGAACTATTCTGCACCAGGGCATCCTTTTGTGGCTGGAGAATAAACTTATATAAAGAACAAAGACACCCCCTCCCCCTTTGAAAATCTCCAACTTCTGTTTCCTCCCTGCTTTGAGGGAAGTGATACACTGAAATTAAGTGGTGGCTTTTCATCGTGGTTAGCAACATACGCTTGGAGCCAGTCTGTCCTGAATTTGCAGCCTGGGCTGGTCACCACTTATCCTCGTGTGACCTGGGGTGAATTAACTGACGTCTCTGAGCCTCCGTTTTCTCACCTGTAAAATGGCAGCTGTTGCAAAATGAAATATTGATAATCCCTGAAAAGAATCTAGCTCAGTGGTTGGTGACGGTTAGCTATCAATTTCTAGAAAAAGGCTGGTTTAGTATATTTTCAAAGTCCACAAGCTTCTCTGGAAACAGGGAGTGAGACAGACTGTGTCAAAATTAAAGAGACAATTCAGGACAAGTTTAAAAAGACGGGAAAATGTGGAATTTGGGATGATCAGGAATAATCTTGCCACTGGAAAGAGAAACCAACAGCCTCCTGTGGTTTTCCTTTCCTAGAATCACGTATGCATCTAGTTCATAAGTGGCCAAAGATGGAAGGAATTTAAGGAAGACCAAATGGAAGTGGGGAAGTGTCCCATTTTTGAGAAGGGGCCAGTGGAGCTGGGCAGCTTCTCAATTCTGGATAGAACTGGGAAACCAGCATACAAGGAGAGGGCTAGATGAATCAGTGCGTGAGATGCTCTTATGACAACATCAGGCACCGACTAAGCCCCATTCATATGGTGCTGATGCTGCCGTGTCTGCCACTGTCCCGACACCTACGTTCCCAAGGGGCACAGAACTGTCCTGGGGGGGTGGTCAGACTGGTTCATGGGGGAAGGGGGTGAAAACTCTGACTCTTTTTATAGATAAAGCACACATATATGTACAGTACATAAACAGATGTGCAGTGTATCTGTGGTATTAACATTTTATGGGGGACAATTAGAAAAAATATCTAAAAAGCTTCCTTATTGGGGTGCAAATAAAAAACATGTTGCGTTACACTGTCTAACACTGACATAATGGGGTGGGGGTGAGAGAGGGGCAGGTGCCCAACATAAGACCGTAAAAACGGAGGGCCCTCAGAGGGCAGGAACGTGTCGGTGGGTGGTGAGAATAGGGATTCTGTGCGCGCAGTAAATTAGATAAAGTGTGAATTCCCCTTGAGGTGGCAACATAATCTTCTTTGCTTCTTCCTCTTCCCAGTTTGGAAGGCTGTCTTGTGTAGGGAGAAGAGAACAAATACCTTGGGAATTCTGAGGCTGCCATTTATTCGCTGTGTGACCTTGGGGAACCTACTGACCCCTCTGAGCCGCATCTATAACCTGGGGCGATAAAAGGCACACTATTCTTTTGGTCCTATAAAAGGGCAGATGACCCAGTAGTGGTTGAAGTTTTCAGGAAGAGAAATCGGTTCCTTTTGAGGTGAACTCAGACATTGACACTTTATTCCAATTTTAGTCCCTCTCTCTTCTTTCTAGCCCTCTTTTTCAAAGCTCTGGCTCTTAATTTTCTCTTGTCATTCTCCATGATGCATGGTCCTGGGGACGCATTATGCGCCTGGTGTCACACTCACATTATTTTATTTAATTCTCTCCAACAACCTTAAGTAACTACGTAAGTATTGATATTATTGCTCTTTTACTGATGAGAAAACTAAAGCGCTGGAGGGTGAACAGATGGTCCAAGATCACACAGTGGGTAGTGAAGAAGTGAATTCTACCACGCTACTGGCCAAGCCCCATGTTTGTTACCACCATAGTATTCATGAAAACTTGAATGTAAGCCAGGAATTTCTGCCCAGAAAATGACGCATCTGTGCACAATTTTGCATACTGTTGCTGAAGATCAAGTCCATCACAAACCCCTTGTTCTAAGGTCCAAGTTTCAACAAGGATCAGTAACTTCCTTCTAAAAAACATTTTGGGGGCTGGCCCCGTGGCCGAGTGGTTAAGTTCGCGTGCTCCGCTGCAGGCGGCCCAGTGTTTCGTTGGTTCGAATCCTGGGCGCGGACATGGCACTGCTCATCAAACCACGCTGAGGCAGCGTCCCACATGCCACAACCGGAAGGACCCACAACAAAGAGTACACAACTTTGTACCGGGGGGCTTTGGGGAGAAAAAGGAAAAAATTAAAAAATCTTAAAAAAAAAAAAATACGTTTTGGGGATTTGTGGGGTTGCTTTTGTTTAGCACAACAATGAAAATAGTACTGACCTATTCTGACATCTCCAGCCGGGATAAAGTGTGGGGCATTTTAAAAAGAAGTATTTTTAAATTTACATACAGTAAAACTCACTCTTTTTGGGGTACAGGCAATGAGTTTTGACACATGCATAGAGATAGGTAACTGCCACCACGATTGAAATAAATATAGTTCCATCACCTCAGATCACCCCGAAATGTCCCTTGTGCTCCATATTATACTCAATTCCTACCCCTATCCTTAATCCTTGGAAACCACCGATCTGTACCCATCCCTATAGATCCTTCTTTTCTAGAATGTTACATACATGGAATCATATGGTAGGTGCTTTTCTTATCTGGCTTCTTTCACTTAGCAAATTGCCTTTGACCTTTATACATATTGTTACAGGAATCAGCAGTTCATTACTTTTTGTTCTCGCCACCCATTCTATAGATGGACCGCAGTTTGCTTATCCATTCACTGGTTGATGAGCTTTTGACTGGTTTGCAGATTTTGGCAGTTTTGAATAAGACTGCTGTAAACGTTCGTAGGCAGGTTTGGTGTCAACATAAGTTTTCATTATTCTTGGGTAAATACCTAGGAATGGGACTGTGCTGGCTCATATTGTAGGCATGTGTTCAACTTTATAATAAACTGCCAACTGTTTTCCAAAGTGCTTGAACATTTTGCATTCCCCCCAGCAGCGTGTCAATGTTCCAGTAGCTCCACATCCTTGCTAGCACTTGCTATATCTGTTCTTTAAAATTTTAGCCATTGTAATAGGTTTGTAGTGGCATCTCATGGTGGTGACTAAAGATATTGAACATCTTTTTATTTGCTTATTTGTCATCAGTATGTGTTCTTTATTTGTGTCTATTCAAATCTTTTGCCCATTTAAAAATATTGAGTGGTTTGTTTTCTTATTATTGAATTTTGAAAGTTTTAAAAAACATATTCTGGATACAAATCCTTCATCAGATGCGTGGTTTGCAAATATTTTCTTCTGGTCTGTGGCTTGTCTTCTCATCCTCCTAACGGTGTCTTTCACAGAGCACAAGTTTTAAATTTTGATGACGTCCAATTTGTCCAATTTTTCCTCTGTGGATCGTGGTTTTAGCGGAGCTAATGTTGTTAGACACCATAAGCCAATCGATATGCATCTGTGGGCCACGTTCATCCTGTGGACCCGACATTTGGGGGGGATTTTTAGCTAGAAGGAAATTCAGTGGATGTGGAGGCCATGAACATGTGCCTCTAAGGTCTCCCACAGCAGGGACTGAAATTGACCATGGGCCCCAGACACTGTGCTCTGAAATCCACATTTGTGCCTAGCCTGTGGTTCCTTCGGGTTGCTCCCGACTCATGACTGCATGCAACGGGGATACCACAGCAGGCTCATCCCTGGGAGACATGGGGCTTTGCCAAAGCTTCTGTAGAATGCCGCCACAGTCTCAGACTTTTCCTACCCACCTGTTCTTTCTTCCTTTTCTCCTCTGCAGGGGTTTCACTAGCATTATGGTCTAACTCCTCTCCTGGGTTCCTCCAGCTTCCTGCCCATAGTCCCCTCGTATGAATTTCCCCCAGTAAATGTCTTGTATGTCTTTTCCTAACTTGGCATCTGCTAGTCTTCTCCTCAAAGGAACCAAACCAATGCAAGGAACCGCTTACGTCAGGAATCACCGCCTTACCTGCTGTGCCTGCCAGGTCGTGTGAGAGAATAAAGTGGTTCAGGTGAGGACTGAGGTGAACTGCAACCCATGTCCCATTTCACGAGGACAGCTTCTATCAAGTTCTAACTGATGGTTGCCAAGTTGGAATGTGAGCCCAGGATTGAACATTATTAGATTTTTAAAGAGAAAAGCTACAAAAAATTACAATCCCTAATTCAACCCTCTCATTTGATGGAAGAAGAAATTGAGGCAGGGGAGGGAAGTGCCTTTCCTAAGATCACCTATGTAGCAGGTGGCAGAACGTGGCCAGAATCCAGAGATACCAGCTCCTGATCCAGCTCTTTCTTTTCTTCCTCTCTATTCATTATTTATTGACTATGTGGGTCTGTATTAGTTATCTATTGCTGTGTAATAAACTATTTTTTAAAAATTGGAGCATATAACAAGACATTTATTGTCTCACAGTTTCTGCAGGTCAGAATCTGGACCCTGCCCAGCTGGGTCTCTCACAAGCCTGCATTCAAGGTGTCAGCTTACACTAGAGTCTCATCCGAAGGCTCAGTTGGGGAAGAGTCTGGATCCAAGCTCATGTGGCTATTGGTAGGATTGAGTTCCCCAAGGGCTGTTGGATTGAAGACTTCAAGTCTTTTCTTGCTGTTGGCCAAAGGCCACACTTGGTTCCTTGCCACATGGGGCTTTCCAACACGGTAAGTGGCTTCTGAAAGTGTGTAAGCTGAGAAGGCAATAGAGAGAGGCTGCCAGCAAGATGGAAATCACAATCCGTTGGAACCTAATCACAGAAGTGATATTCTAACACCTTTGCTGTATTCTCTTTGTTAGAAAGTCACTAGGCCAGCCCACACTCAAGGGGACATGAATTCAGGAGGTAGGGATCACTGGAGGCCATTTTAGAATATTACCCACCACAAGGTCTTTCTCGGAAAATGGGAAATCCTCACTTATACTTGACCTTTCTCCTCTAAACCAGGAAACTGCTTTTGAGGGGAGAGGTGAGGGATCTATTTTAACACAAAAACAAGTGCTGGTGTAACTACAGGACAAGATTGAGAAGAGAGAACCAGATCAAGGAGGACAAGAAAGGAAAGAAGTGGCAGGGGACAGGATAAGGGTCGCAAAAGGAAGTTCCAGGCCAGGACAACAAAAACCTCTGTTCTTCCTCCCAGGTGTTCTCTTTATTGTGTACTCTGCTAGGGGCACAGAAAACTGACAGACCGCTTTCAGCAAAATTCAGGACCCTGCTTTTGCAGAGATGATTTGCTTTCTGGATTATCACATATTTCTTCTTCCGCTACTGAGAGTGTACATAATTGTTCAGGAGAAATACCCAGATCAAAACAAAGAAAACAGTCTCCTTTGCATATAGGGAGGGAGTGTGGAACAATAATTAAAATAATAACTGTTCGTATTTTCCAACGTCTGGCTGGACAGCCTGCCTCGAGCCCAGTAGCTTTGCCCCACTGAGTCCTCAGAACAACTCTTGAGTTTGGTATTAGTATTGGCTCCATTTTACAGAGGAAGAAACTGAGGCTCAGAGAGATTGTGAGACTAGCCTAACGTCACAGCTGGATGGGGCTGGAGCAGGAATGGACCCATGTTCATTTCACCCCATATCCATCACCAACTTCCCAAAATTTATTCATTCATATATAAACTGTCATAGTTGTTGTCATATCCAATGTCACTTCTTCTACCATCACATATTCCTACCACAGATGCAGCACATTTTACCACTTCCTCCCCCTAACAGTCAATGGTGCAGGCTCTGGACTAAGGTAGAGCTGAATTCAATCCTGACTCTACCATAAGCTGAGTCACCCTGCACAAGCTACTTAACCTCTCTGAGCTGCAGTTTCCTCATCTCTCAAATGGAGTGCCTGGCTCGACTCGCTGGGTGATGGAGAGACTAAGTGAGATAATGGAAGTAGATTATAAGGCACACTGTAGATGCTCCATAAATATTTTGTTGAAGCGACTCTCAAGGAATGGGATCTTTCTTTATTAACTCTTCTGAAAGATATCCATGCTTAGCATATTTCCAACAACATTATCAATAGTCACAGATCCTTAGTACTTCCCATGACCGCCCAGCAATTTCCAACTAAGTATTTGTTAAATTTGAATGTAGATTTAGTGTCCTATAGTTTGAGGCAATATTAAATAGCCTTGTTACTCCATTTGGATCAAATCAGGGAAACTAGATAAATACATTTGCTGTCATTTTTTTTGCTTACTTGTAGAAACCATAATGACAATATAACATCATGATTAAGAGCATAGATTTTGGGGTCAGTAACACCTGGTTTTAATTTCTGATGGCTCCATTCATCGGCTTTGTGACCTCAGTCATCTAATAGTTCTCTGCTTCAGTTTCATTAAATCTGTTGGGGACGCTTTCAGCTGTAAGTAGCAACTGTAAGAAAAAGCCAGCAGAGACTTAAATGGGCAAAAGATTGGAACAGACACAAATAAAGAATATAGACTGATGATAAATAAGCAAACGAGAAGATGGCCAACATCTTTAGTCACCACAGTGAGATATAAACCTATTAGAATGGCTAAAATTTTAAAAAATGGGTATTATCAAATGCTAGCAGGGATGTGGAACAACTGGCGTGTGTTACCACAGTACCTAAGAGCATTGACTCTGAAACCAGACAGGCTGGGTTTGAATCCCAGCTTGGTCACTTACAAGTTGTGGAAGCTTGGGGAAGTCACTTATCCCCTTGAGTCTTCAATTTTCTCATCTGTAAAATGGGGATAATCATAGGAACTAGAATGTTAAGTTTTGAGGTTAAATAAGTTGATGTAGATAAAGCGCTAACAACAGTGCCTGGCCTATGGTAAGCACTTGATAAGGGTTAGGAATTACTACTCAGTACTGTGTCTTCAAGGTCTAGCCCTAAATAGCTCATGAGTATCTCTTTAAGGAGTGAACAGATTTTTTGGAATGAAGCATTTGTGGAATGAAGGCTTTATCTAGTGCTGAATAAATAAATGAATGCTTCATACTTCTCTTATTCTTTAACCATATGTTGCTTCATTTAAACATTATGGGCCTCGAGTTTCATTTAGTACATGAAAGGCTATAATTGGCCTTGATTTACATAACAAAGTCAAATCAGTAAGGCAAGTGCTTGAAGCATTTTTTTAAATTAAATTTGCTTTTTTTTGTTTTTTTTTTTCTCCCTAATTTAGTTTCTGTATTGGTATACTCATGGCCAAATTAAGACCTACAAATATTATGGGGCCTACATCCGTCAGCTATTGCTATAATAATAATGCCATGTAACAAAATCACCCCCAAACTCGGTGCCTTAAAACTAAATATTTAATCTCACAAAAGCATCCGCAGGTTGGCTGGTGTTGAGATGGTCTACGCTGTGCTGGGCTGGGCTTCAAGTTGTGGGTTGCATCCAGGTCTGCTCCAGATATCCTTCATCCTCCTTGGATGAGCAGGCATACGCTTCTCATGGCAATGTTGGATGTGCCAAAGAGCAAGATGCACTGTGCAAACACATGTCAAGTCTTTGCTTGCATCGTGCTTGCTAACAGCCTCTTAGCCAAGCAAGTCACACGGCCAAGTCCAACATCAATGGGGCAGGGAAATATATTCCACCCGGAGCAGGAGTGGAGAGGGGTGTTTTCTGAACAATAATCCACACTATCCCAGGACCTGGACCCAAATAAAAATTAAAATCAAACTAAAATGAAAAATAAAGTTATGTTTTTTCAAAGAGACAAAAATACATGTGTATGTCAAAATTAAAAATAACTTTTCTGAATTTTCCCATTGTCTCCTTCGGCAGGCAAGAAGAGGTTGTGATGGTGGCCCTGCTTTTCTGGTCCTTTAAGTGTGTGTCTAGTCTGCATATTGGACAAGCCAGAGCGATGACTATTCCTTTTTGTAACCTAGTGCCTGGCACACAGTAGGTATTTGATAAAGATTGTTGAGGGCAATTGTTGGATTTTATAAATGCATGGCAATTGCGTCAGTGCACGGTAGCTCTCTTTGCTTTACAGAAACTTAGGAGCATTGTAGGCATCACATGTTTCTGCCTCAACGCTTCAAACACAGTTGTGTGGTGCGGAGGTACACACAACTTCTAACACTGACCTTGGAGGCCTCCAAGCAAGTCGCTGCCTCTGAGTTTTCTATTTTCTCTCTGTCTCCTCTGCAATGCAAATGAAATCCCTTTCTCATCTGATGTTGCTCACGGGAAATGCATGCCTGGAAAATAATCAACAGAGAGGAGAATGTAGACAAGTAAATAAACAGTTTAATGCATAGTAGATAAAACATGAATTAAAGTCAACCTTCAGAGCCTCACATTTTCCTTTCATCCACTGTTTATGCAATAATTACACAGTCAATTGCAACTTGCATAAATGATTTTATAAACCTGTTAGTCTATAAATATCTACAGTATATATGTATTTATAGATAAAGAGGGAGGAGACGCTCATGATTGAGCAAACATGTTCTGACGTAGAAGTAACTTTGCAAATACTATAAAGTTCAGATTCTACTAATGCTAGCTTTTCCTGACCCAGGAGAACTCACATAATGTTATGAATTGTAATAACCATAACTACCTTAATTGAGAAGCTAACAGGTGTCACACCGTGGGGTAAATGAGTGGGGTAACATATCTCTGTTTCTCTATTGTTTCTAACCCATATAACAGTACTAGCATGCTAAAACATATCTCCATTTTCCGGAAGGGAACACTGAGGCTCAGTAAGTAATTAGAGCTTGCATTTGACCTCTAACATGCTTCCCTAGAAAATAGGGCTGTGTTGAAAGTTGACTGCCCACCCATTACAGCGAGGGCCATTGAGGACAACCAGTTAGGTACACTGATATTCACGTGGCTGTCGCATCTTTATTTCTTGCACCAAGATTAACCTAACAGAACATCCAACCTGGGAAGCCACCTTCGGGACACCCTGCAAATATTTGTGATGTATCTCCATTCTGTTTTCCTTCGGTTATTTAGCACAGAGCTTCTTTTATCAGATGATTAGAATAGGCATAGTAAGCATGTCACCTGGGTGATCAGGTGCCTGTAGTTTGAAAGTATTCCCTCTCAGGGCCATCAGTGAAGCTCAGAGATGAGATCTTACAAGCCGGTGATAAAGCTTCAAATAGCTTCCACTATGAGAGGGGATTAATTATGTGTGATTTTTCAAGCCGTACTTGCAGATTAAACAGTTAGATGTCTCCTTTCTGTCTGGTGCCTGCCTTGTACAGGCACCTTTAGTGAAACATGACTGTTAGCTTTCCTTGGCCATGAATTAGGGCACCAGAAGCCTCGATTGATTCAGGTTTAGCCACTGTCCACACAAAGCCCATCGCTGCTCTCCTGGTTGAAATCCAAAGGAAAGAACAGCAATTAGGTAACTGTGATGTCAAGGGAACCAGCTGGTTTGAAAAGTCTCAAAAAACAGCCTTAAAAAAAAAAAAAAACTTCTAGGGCGTTTCTGATTTTTTGAAAAAATAAGTTTAGGAGTATCTTTGTCTTTAAAAAAAACCATGAGAGTTTCTGCCTTTCCAGTTAAGAGCAATCTTTAAAAGCCATCCAAAAAAAAAAAGAAATTGGCTCTGCTTTCTGAATTGCTAGTTGGGAGAACAAAAGAAGCAGGGAAAGTTTGACTTGACTTCCTCTGCAATTTGTTTATATCATCGGAGCAGAAAGAATCTCAGGCTCCACTCGCCACTTCCTGAATGAAGAGAGAGAGGAAAATGCCTGTGTCGAATTCATTGAGATGTGCAAAGCGATCAGCAGAGATCCCCACCGACTGGAGGAGCCAGGGGGCAAAAGAAGAACGTTTCTCAATTCAGCTACAATCTGACAAGAGAACTGCAAAGTCCTGCTGGCCAGAGGCGCCAAATACGCCCCCACCCCCTCCCAGGGGCCACAGAAAGCGTAGCTCTGTGACGGTGCAGCCTCTCCTGGCTTGTTGCTATGGAGCCGGCTTCATCCAAGGCAGTGTGTCAGTCAACCCAATTCCAAGACAGCAGTGGCAGCAATCAAACAGCATTGAAATCACAAATATTTATTTGAAAATAATGTCCAAGGCAGATGTAACTGAAACGATAAAGTTCAGTTTACTTCTCTTGGTAGTAGCCAGCTGCAACAGCCAAACCAGTTAGGCGACTTTTTTTTTTTGGTTAGGTATGTACTGAATCACTGGCAACGAACTTCGGGATTTTAGGAGAGAGGTTTCTGTCTCTCTAGGTTCTCCTGGGCAGAATGCCTGTATCTCCCTCCTCCCCATCCCCCGAAACACACACACGCTTTCTTAAAAAACCAACTCAGGCCCGCTGAGCTATTCGATTATCGCTGTTAGCTTCCTTCCACTTGTCTTTGTAGGCGGCAGTGAGGCCTGAAGATTTAGATGAAAGCATCAGACTGCTCCCCTCTTCCTCAAGTCTCCCCTGTGTGGTTTTCCAGCTTGTCTTTTCATAACTCGATTCAGTTGAGGTCTGCCATAGCTGGCCTATTAAAGAGAAATTTGAAATCAGTGGGTGAAAGGGCTAAGAAAGAGACAAATACGGTTAAGCAGTGAATATATTTGGCTGAGTACCATTCCTGGAGACTGATTTCATTGGCCTTGGAACCCTGGAGGGGATTGCAAAATGTGCAGATAGAACAGAGAGAGAGAATGGAGATAGACGGGAGAGACAGAAAGGAGATAAAGAGGTTTCCCTTTCCTCTGAAAGGGTGGGTTGTTCTTACTAAACGACATTTCTTGGTGAATTACTTGGTGAGTTACTGAATTAGCTCAGAAGCCAGAGAAAATGCCACATGATAAGGCTGGAGGCTGTTTGAATGATAAATAATATAACATGCAGTGATTTCAAATGTCCCAGTTTCTTACTGGAAGCTTTTCTTCCAGTTCGGAGGGCAGGTTTCAATCAATTCTCTTGTCTAATTCCTGCTTCCTGCCGAGCTGCCACTGTTGGTGTTTTCAGGGAAAATCCTGGGTCATCATTTGAGAACTTTGAAAACTCAGTGTTCAATTAGGCTTCTTTTGAATCCCTTCTGAGGGTCGGTTAAATATGGGTCCAAAGTGCTTTTTGTAAGTGAAACTGATCTTGAGGTGAGGAAACTTAATCCTCTTAGTGTTAAGAAACTGAAAAATAATGTTTTAACAGCACCATTACCAGGAGACTTGGAAATTTCATTCTTCTTGTCTGTTCTGTTCAATTGTATTTTATAGACACACGAACATTTCAAAGTACAAAGGGCTATTATATAAAAAGGACACTTGGATATTCTTTATAAAGGTTCCCTTGTACTTTTATAGAATGTTTACAAGGTTAATAAGTATGCTTTTTCATCACTGTATATTTTAAATGGCTCAACTATTGCTCCCACGTTTATTTGAGAATCATTGAAACTGCTTGAATGGAGCTGGATGTCCTTTGTTTCCCATTGATTTGGAAACAAAAGACTCGGGGGGAAAAAAAGTTTACTTTGCTGCTGAATGCCGTATGCAGATGAACGTATTGTTGATTAAATTAAACCAAGGATCTGAGGACTTTTTCAAGTCTTACAACAGAAAGAATCCTCTCATAGTTATGGCACATGTTTGAATTTGCCCTCCCGTTTTCATTGATCCCGTTATGCTCGGCTCTAACGGGGTTATTTAAGTCACACGCCCAAGTCTTCAGGAATCATAGAGTAATCAATAGAAGAGGAGAGCACCAACCAAGACAAAAGTTGCTGTGTTACTTCTTAGGTGGGAAATCCCACATGGACATCTTAAGCAGACAATGCCCTCCATCATTTTCTCCCTTCTTCATCTTTTCCGATTTCTCTAGACCCACGGTTCTCATCGTCGGCACTCCTGACATTTTGGACTGGATCCTTCGCCTTTGTGGGGGGCTGTCCTGCGCACTGTAGGGTGTTCACCCGCATCCTGGGCCCCCACCCACTAGAGGCCAGCAGCACTCCCTCCACAGTCACGACAAGCAAGTATGTCTCCCCATGCTGCCGAATGTCCCCTGGAAGTGGGGTGGGTGGGTTGGGATTGCCTCTGGTTGAGAACCACTGTTCTAGATCAACCTGCTCAAAGCATCCTGTTTGAAGAAAGAAGAGACAATTAATTTAGTGTTCAGCTGGTTATGGGGAAAATGACTGGCTACAAAGCAGTTATTTTCATTAGAATTCGTAGAGTTAGAACGAAAAATATGAGAGAGAAACAGAAAAAGAATGAATCAGAGGACTTAGAGATAATTTACTAGCTGGCTCTTCACTCTACACGTGAGGACCACGGTGGGAACGGCATTCCAAGGTGCACAATTTGATGGGGAGTTCAGGCTTGTTATGATTATTTTTATTTATTTTTTTCTAGTGGCGCATGGTTTCACTTACCTATCATAGTGACCCTCCCACTGGCACACATCGTAGACTAGGCTGACCATAACCTGTCACAGTCCTTTTCCTTATGACCTTGAAGTAATATTTACTAATTTAATTTCCAGTGGACAAAAATGGGCATGTACTGCAATAATAAGGTACACATATATTTCATGACATACTGTTAGGATAATAGAGAAAAAATATATTTTAAAAACTGTGAGTCAACATGGCTGTAAGAAGTTGAAAAAATGTTTTGGTATATAAAGATATATCTGTCTCTCCAGACACTAGTTTCTCTACTATCTGTTTCTATAGTTCACATTGACTATTTTTGTTACATATCTAAAAAAAAGAGAAGCAGCGTCCAGCACCACACAATCTGAGTCCTATATACACAAAGATCATAAAGCTACCAGTATTTAACTTTTATTTCTTAAAAAATAAGTTTTAAATTATGAAATGTTTTGAACACTATGACAAGGGGGGCAGAATAATATAACAGGCGTGTGCTCGCTGCTAAGCGGTACTGGTTTCCAGCTCTCCCATTCCGGGACCTATCCTGGGCCTTCTGGCTGGAAACATTCTCCCCTCATATATCTGCATGACTCATTCCTTCCTTCGCTCCATCCAGGTTGCTGCGGAAGGGCATCTCCTCCGACAGGCCTCCTGACCATTCTTTATAGTGAATGCCACTGCAAAATATATTCCATATAACAAACAAGGAACGCCGTCCCCCTGCCCTGGTCACTCCCTGTCCAGCCCTGCTTTAATGTTTCTTCATAGCACATATCTTATTATATAGTTATATATAATATGTATTATATATTTGGTTTACTTATTTATTGTCTGTCTCCTCCAACAGAATCTAGGCTGTGACTCCCTGAGGGCCTGTGTTTTATCTACCAGTGCCCAGAACAATGCCTGGTCCACAGTAGGCACTCAATAAATGTCTGCTGAATGAAAGTGTTATTGTCTGGGCAAACTTGGTGGGCACGAGCAGGCTGGTAAGAATTTGGTGTGGATTGATGAATTCTTGCACTCTTGTCAATGACCTTTGTCTATTCAAGTGTAACAATATTATATTTAATATTGAATTGCTTTGGCATGACAAATTTAATATTTCAAGCTGTTAATGATTTATTCACTTTAGACAACAGGTTGGGTTTTTTAACAGAGAAAAGTCTAATGAAGAAAATAAAAATGGACTCTCAGCCGTGATATTTCAACAAGCAAATAAATAATAGAAATACTTGCTTATAGTTACAAACCTCAAATTTAAGAAAGTTATAGAATAAAAAGTAGATGACATCCCCCTATCTACTTTTCTGGTTCCTATCACAAGAAGAAAGACCTGTAGCCAATTTCTTGTGGATTGTTCCAGAAAATTCTAATATGTCCATAGGCCTAAATTTACTAGGAAAATATACATTCTCTTAATTTGTTTTAAACACACACACATACACCAGAAGAGTTTCTTCTGCAACTTTTGCACGGTTTGTACTTAGATATTTATTTGTTCAACTGTCTGTTCAACATGCACCTCTCCTTTTCCTGACTCCATCTGCCTGCCACCCAGGCCCAGAGGCTGACGCACGGCGAGCCTCCTCACCTGTTTGCCGAGCGGATGGTCAAACGGTTCATGCCTCTCTTACAGCAGGCGCTGTGCTTTTACAGAATTCTGATTCCGTTAATGAAGCTCCTTAAGGTTCCTATTCAATGAACATTTATAGATTGTTTTAAAAAAATTGATGGTGGTTTGGTGTTTTCACATGAATTATCTCATGCCATCCTCAGGGAAATCTCCTAAGGTGGTTATTTTAATTCCTGTTTTTCAAATGAGGAAACGAGGACTCAGAGAAGTCAAAGCCAGACTACAGATTAAGATTTTAATATCAGGAAAATGTTCTAGGCCGCCGTGCCCTTTGCATATTTCTAAGTATCTTCCTTTTTACCGATCTCAAACGCCAGAATGCTATGAACATTTAAGCTTAGCTCTCAATACCAAATATTTCTGTCTAGTCTGTCACGCCGCAAAGATACATTTCAAGTCTCTCTAATTAGCCCAGCAGATAAAGCAAAGAGCCTAAGACTCTAAATAAACACTAACAAAACAAACAGAAAACCCCTCGAACACCAAAGAAACTTCTGGACAGTGCAAAAACTAACCAACGTGACTTCTGAGAAGCAGGCCTGAGCAGCTCAGAATCAAAACACAGGAAGTAAGTTGTAAATGGTATAATGAATAAAACAACTATTTTGGGAGGTGAAACAGAATCTGCATTCTGCTGTTTAGATGTCACCTTGCAACGTGAGGACGGAGTATGTGGGCTCAGAATGTTCACCCAGTGGCTCTGTTTTCAAACAGAAACAGCCAAACATAACTCAGGAAATAAACGAATACCATTGAATTACACACTTAAAATGGGTGAAATTTAATGGCATGTACACATATAGATTCTCAATGACTGTTAAAAAAAAAAAAAGAAGCCAAATTAAAAGTTGTTTTATTTTCTAGCAGTCAGCCGGTGCAGATTCGGGCCGTGTGTGTGTGTGTGTGTGTGTGTGTGTATGTGTGTGTCTTTCAAAAAATGTGGTCTGTGAGTCCAGAGCATACCAGGATGTGGGAGACTGAAAGGTTACTGTTTAATATTATGTAGAAAACATGTGTGCAGAGCTAAAACAGTTCTCCGATAAAAAGGCCACGGGACTGGCGTCTCTTGAGAAGTAAAAATAGATGAAAAAGATGAAGCTTTTGTTCTGTAGGTGTTGCCACATCTTCCTCCTGGGGTGAAGCTGCCAGAGCGTAAAGCTTGCCTCCCACTTGTAGCTTGCCTGTTGATTCTGTTTGCTCGTAATAGCAGCCTTGTTCCATCTGCTGGGATTCAGAGATTCACGGAGGCAGAGTGTGAGGGGAATTATTTCCAAAAGAAATAATCACAGGAATAGGAAGAGGGAGGGAGGGACGGAGTGAGTGAGGGCGAGAGAGAGGAGAGAGTGAGAGAAACAGAAGCAGAGGGAGAGAAAGAGAAAGAGAGAGAGAGGGAGAGGAGAAATTGATTTTCAGAAGAGAGCGAAGTTGGCTGTATTTTCCTTAAAACATTAAAAAGAACACTGCGAGAGCTATAAAGTGACAGCGATGCCTTAAGAAGAGCCATCTGTTGGGGTTGGACGAGTGAAATGAACCTCAAAAGGCAAGGGGAGGGATGGGGAGGAGGATCGCTTACTGTGAGGAGCAGGGTTTTGTGGCTACAGCTCATGTTGCGGTTTGATGCCCCTCTGACTCACAGAGGCAAGAAAAAGGAGTGTGGACGGGAGGCAGCCTGCTAGCGGGGGGTCAGGTGAGGCTTCCCTCACACTCCGCATCAGCACCTCCCTGTGGGAAGAAGGAGACTAAGACAAACAAGCAAACCTCAAAATTACAAACAACAAAAAAAAACAAAACAAAAAAACCTTATTCAGTCTAAAAGAAAAAACAAATGAGGTATTGTTCTGAGAATTATATGAGCCAATGCCCACACGTACCTCTGATTATTCTCTCTTAATCATAGGTTTAAAAATGCCGATAAAACTTATCTATCATGGAAGCCTAGGACAGTGGTTACTTTGGGAAAGGAATAATGACAAGAAGGGGGCCCCGAGGGACTTTTGGGGTGCTGATGACCTGTGGGAAAATTCACCAAGCTGAATACTTTCCATTTTCCCACTACTCTGTGTATGTGTAATATTTTACTAACATTTAAAAAAATGCCAATTTGCATCTCCCTGTTCCTGCTTCTCCGTTCATTGCTAACTTAAGGTGACCAAAGAGAACTTGGACTCTCCTCTGGCCATCTTTCCCCTCCTTAAGTCACAGTAGCCTTACTGGATTCTGACAGCGTCATCCTGGATTCTTCTTTCTCTAATCCCCTCAACCAATCTGCCTCTCCTGGTGTCTCTAGCTCTAAAACAGGTCCCAGATCTCTCTGATCCACTCCATCTCCTCCGACCTTCCAAGTCAATGTCACTTTTGGCCGGACAACCGTAATTGACTCCCAATTGGGTTTTCCCGCTTCCAGGCAACTCTCTTTCACACTAATCCATTCTCCAAAGTTACCTTTTAAAAAATGGAAATCAGGTGACAACATTCTCCCTCCTGGAAACTTCCTGATGGCTTCCCATCACATTTAAAGTGAGACCCAGCTGTTGGGAAGCCTTCTCGAGTCATACAAGGAAAGCCTCACCACCTCTCCCTCGCTCCTGTTTTCCCTCTTGCTCACTCTGTCCCAGCCACTTTGGCCTCCTTTCTGTTCCTTAAACTCGCTAAGCTCATTCCTTCCTCAGGGACTTGGCTTTGTTGTCCCTGTCCTGGGTCTCAGCTCTCATGTCACTTTCTCACAGAGGCTGCCCTGATCACCTGCAACTTAGTTATCACTCCCCATCGCATTACCTTCATAACACCTGTCACGATTGGATGTATTGTGTTATCTCTTGGTTTTATTGTTGATTGGATTTCTCCCTCATGAGGATATAGGTGCCCAGGGGAGCAAGGACTGTGTCTGTCTCATCAATATCTCCATTTGGATGCATAAAAATAGCTTCAAGCATCACATGCCCAAACCCCAATTCCTGAACTTCCCACTCCGCACCATCACCCCTCCTCCACAACCTGCTTTCCTCATTGTCTTCCAGTCTCTGCTGCAACTGTATTCATTCAGTAGCTCAGGTCAGAAATCTTGGAGTCGTCCCTGATGCCCTTTCCCCTCACATTCCACACTCAACCCATCAACACCTTCAGCTTTTCCGTCAAAGAGTCTGACAATGCACTGCCACATCCTGCTTCTGCCCTGGTCCAGCCAGCGAAAGGAGCTTCCATAGTGTCCCCGTCCATCCCTCGGGGCCCCCACTTCATCTAGTCTCCAGAGTGGGATCATTTGAAAATAATTTTAAAAGCCTCGTCTTCTAGAGCTCCCCAATGACTCCCCATCTCAGAGTAGACTCTAAAGTCCTTCTGCGACCCACACCCCTCCACTCCTCTCAGGCCGCCTCCTCCATCCCCCCCTGCTTTTCCTTGCTTACTCCACTCTGGCCACATGAGCCAAAGACATACCCCCTCGGACCCTTTGCACCTGCTGCTCTCTCTTTCTGGAATGATCCCCCCAAATGCCCCATGCTGTGTTCCCTCACTTGTTGAGGTCTCTGTCTAATGAAGCCTTCTCCAGCATTTCTATTCAAGTCCCCCCACCCCAGTCCCCCTATTTCTCTCCCTTACTTATTTTTCTGCAAAGCACTTGTGACTCCTTGGACGTATGTCATATTTGTGTATTTGTTGGTAGTCCCCTCCACTACAGTATGAGTTCCACGAGGGTGGGGGTTTTTGTCTCTTTTCGTCATGGCTGTGTCCTCATTGCCCATGTCAGTGCCTGGCAGATAGTAAGCACTCATAGGTTATTAATTAATTAATAATAATTAATTGAATACACTGATAAGATTCATCATTGACTAGCACATGCTAAGGATTTAAGTCCTCATTAAGGGAGTAAATGAATGACCATTAAAAGAAATTTACAAGTCCTTAAATCAACAAAGATATACAGAGTTTCTATCATGGGTCTGGAACTGATCTACAGTAATGAATAGAACAGACGAGATCTCTGGCCACCTGGAGCTCATAGTATACTTGGGAAAAGCCACAGATCCAACAATCACAGAAACATCTCACTACAAACTTGGTACTGCTGGGAAGGAAAAGTAGAGAACGCTCTTGAGCGTGTAGCTCCAACAGAGAGAACTGGGAAGGTGACAGAGGAGGTGACATTTGAGCTGAGATGAGACAGTTGAGCTGAGCAGGGAATAGGGGCAAGGATGGGGGAAGCAGGGAGTTGGGGAGAACGTTTCTGGCAGAAGAAACTTTCAGCTCAAGGGCCCTGAGGCCCTGGGTGTGGATTCATCATTTACATCTTACTGTTTCCAAGATCCTAATGAGCCTCAGTATTTGCTTTTTGATATTTACTATTAATTTCAGTTTTTAGCTGTCAGTGGAATACGGGTTCTCAATAGAATATGGATTTTGATTCTTTCCCCAGTGGACATGGGAAGCACCTTTAAACTCAGGATTCTGATGAAATCTTTGCAACCTCGGAGTTTATGTAGTATGTGGTTGGGTTTTGACGTCATCCTTGTTTGTTTTCTTCTTTTTTCAGTCCTTTGACACTGGCTAGTCATTAAAATTTAGAGCTCACCCTAGGTTAAGTGGTTGATTTCCTGGAAAACAGCTGGTTGAGCTTCCCCCTGTGCACCTCTGAAATAAACATCCCCTTTGGAGAAAGGCCTTCTTTAGTGCCTTCCTGCTCAGCATCTTTTTTGCAATTTACACTCCTGTTTTGCATGACTTGTCAGAAGAAATCTAGAAGAATGATAACTAAAAAAACAGCCAAGGGTTATTAAGCACTTCCCTGTATTACCAGCACTGGGAGTAGATACTATTATTACCCTATTTTCACAAATGAGGACCTGAGGCTTGGGAGGCGAAATAATGTGTCCCACCTCAGTCAGTGACTAACAAATGGCAGAGGTGGGTTTTAGATTCTGGACTGGGTGACTCAAGAGCTTGTGCTCTTAATCATCGAGCCACAGGCCTTCTGGACCCCAGATTTGAAAGTCTCCTCTTACCTGCAGTTTCCCCAGCTGTCAGATGACGGTGTTGAGCCCAAAGTTCTAATTCTCGCAGTCCATGTACAGACAGAGGTGTTCATATTTTATCTTGCAAAGGCAACCAACTCTGGCTAACTTGTGCTGAAATGGACTGATGTTGAGTAACTCACAAATGGGGAACTGAGAACTAAAAAAGAAAGAGAGAAATAGGGAGGGAGGAAGGGAAAGGGAGGAAGAGAGAAGAGAGGAAATGAGGGAGAGAGAGGAAGCGAGAACTGGAGCAGTCTCCTGTGTCTAGGTAGCAAGTAGACTTCACAAGGGTTTTTTCTCGATGGGTGGACTGCAGTGTGTTTTCCACTCTGCGTCAGCCTGGTGAAGATTCGCTGGCCCAGACTCTAGAGTTTGATGATTTATCTTGGCCATGGATTCATCCCTTGGCTAGGGAAGGGCAGGGTACCTTGATTGACAGTCCCACTGGGCTGGCTCACAATGGGGTGGGTCATTCCCTGAAGGACACTTACGGTGCTGTAATGCAAAGATTGGGAAATGGATGCGGGGCCCTCAAAAACAAGTGATAGCCACTCTACCTTCCTCTTGCTCACCCACTGTATGAAGGTTGGAAGTACAAACTCCATTCAGTCTCAGTTCTGCCTTTTGCTCCCACTGTCAAGGGCTCATCTTTGTCTAAAGGGCACCTAGTGCAGTGCCAGGCACAGAGCAGGTGCTTGCCAAGTAAATGTGGGATAAATAAATGAATAGAAAAGAAGAAACACAGCTCTGATGCTGAACTAGCTCTCCTGCTTGTAGACAGACATCACATCTCACTAAAGCCAGCCTCCCCTGGGTTGGGCTGTTGAGGAATTCCAAAAAATAGCACCCTTCCCTGTCCAAATTCTTAACCAATGAGAAATAAGACAAAAGAATCAGCAGGTTGTCTTAGTCCTTTTGGGCTGCTATACCTAAAATACCATAGACTAGATGGCTTATAAACAACAGAGATTTACTTCTCACGGTTCTGGAGGCTGAAGTCCAGGATCAGGGGCCAGCACGGTTCCATCCTGGGAGAGCTCTCTTCTGGGTGCCAGATGGCTGACTTCCCACTGTGTTGTCACATGGCAGATGAGGTGAGGGAGCGCTCTGCGGCCTCTTCCGTAAGGGCGCTTATCCTATTCACAGGGGCTCCACCCTCCTGACCTGATCTCCTCCCAGAGGCCTCACCTCCTAACTTCATGACACTGGGATTAGGTTTCCACATGTGAATTTGGGGGGGACACAAACATTCAGTTTATAGCACAGATGGGAGCCCAAACATCACCTTTACTGCTGAGAAATCTAGGTATCTGTGGGTCACTGGGCTTCCCAAAGCTGACCCCAGAATGAAATGGTCCCTCCCGTTCCAACACAGGAGCAGAGAACATGAGCTTCAAGGTCAGCTCCCTCCTCCACAAGGACACCAGCAGTGGAGGACAGCTTTATTCTTCCCAAACACATCTACCAGACAGATCACTCCCCTCCCAGTAAGGGTCCGGGAGAGGCCAGGAGTTAGGAGCTGGACTGTCTCCCCACAGAGACCAACACCAGGAGCGGGGAGAAGCCCTCCCTCCTGGCTTCCTGGCCAGGCACCCTGGGGCCTGGGGAAGGAGCATAGGAGTAGTTGACTCCAAACTGATAACGATCTACTCTGCAGTCCTGTTCGTTCTCTTTGTGGCTCTCTGTCTACTCATTACATTTTCATAGCTTGTGACTAGAAAAATTTCCATCACCCAAGACGTGACATCATAACACCTAGTTTGGAAAAGTGAAAAATCCTGTCAAAGGACTGTGAAAGTTCTCTTAAAATAGAAACTTGAAAAGCCCCAGAAAGGAGGGTGTAATAATTATCATCATCATCTACTCGAATGACAGCTAAAGGCCAGTCTGTCTGATGCCAGCACTGAATTGACTGACAGGCCAGGAGAACCCTGGCAAAGCTTTGGGGTCCAATACTTCAGAGTTTGACCTTCTGCCTGCTCCTTAGCTGTGTAAACTGAGGCTTATTAATGCTTCTGGACCTCGTTTCGAGCACTACAAAATCAGGATGATAATAGCTTTCATGCCATAGGTTTTTTTGGGGAAGATCTATTGAGATAACACATTTCAAAGGCACAGACCAGTGCTTGGCACATAGTAAACTCTTATAAATGTTAGTTAATGCTGTTATCCTTATGATTCTTATGATCGTTAGGGTCCTTGTGTTACTACGATATATAGATTTATTCACCCACATTATCCTCTGGTCATCTGTTTGCTAATGTGCAGTAGAAAGAGCACTGGGAGAGGAGTCTGGGGGCCCAAGTTCTGGTATTTTCTAGCCACATGATAACTGACCAAATCACTATACCTCTTCAAGCCTCAGTTTTCTCATCAGCTACAGGTGACAGAAAATAATGGGAAAGTTCAATTTGAGCTTGAACGTGGATTTTTCTTTCCTTGGAACATTCTTTCCTTAGCCACTGTGCCATCTATTAACACGTGTTCAGCCAGGGGGCCCGGATCCAGCACTGCTTCTGCAGGGCAGCCCTCCCCCTCCCCCATCGGATGTGTTCATTTTCTCCACAAATTTTAATGAGCACCTATCCTGCCTGCCACACTGTTCTGAGTCAGGGTGATGAATAAGCTAAACACGGTCTTGGGCTTTCAGAATTGAGAGGAAAAAGGGGACTCTGCTGCCTTATGGTGTCCCTCGGGGTGACCCCCTCTCTCCGTCAGGCCTGCTCTGGGTGGCGGACATAATCCACGTCATCCAGACCTAGAAACTGGATCACATACACACGCACTCACCTTCTCCCTGGCCCAGCGGCCTTGTAAGTCTGCTTTTGGCTTCTAACTGATAATACATTGAATTTCTCCAATACAGTTCGCCTGGCCTTGGGCCTCTTAGCCCCAGAGTGAGGTTATTCAGAGGCATTAACCAGCTTCTTCCTCAGAGCTCCCTGGGGTCCCAGTGGTGTTACGGAAGTACCAATGTTCTGAGTCTACTAAGAGGCGGGGAAGACGGTGGGGCTTCGCATAGGCAGACATGTGCAGAAACCAAACCAAGCCAAACCAATCAGAAGTGCGTAGGTCATGTCCTGTCTCACTGGTCCCGTCTGGGACACCCTTGGTGAGCTCCACTGGGAAAGGGGCTGGAGAGCTGAGCTTGGAGATCATGTGCCTGGCACCCCCAGACTGCCACTTAGTACCAGTGTGGCCTTGGGCCGGCAGTTAACTCTCTGTAGGCCTCCGTTGGCTCCTCTGTAAAATGGGGATGACGGCGTTGACTTCCTAAGATCGGCATGAACGTCAATGGAGATAAAGCATGAGAAGCGTTCAGTCTCAGGCTTGGGCATAATTGCTCAATAAATATCAGCTACTATTCCAATGGGACAGGTGGCATTCTCACACAGGAAAAAGACCAACATGGTTTGATAAATATACCTGACTCGTACAATACACGGCCTGGAATGCTCCCTTTCCCTTCTCCCACTCCCCTCATAGCTGATGCCTGTTTCACCTCTGAGGTCGTGGCTGACATGTCATCTCCTGAGAGAAGCCTGTCCTCAGAAGTGGTTATTCTTAATCTTGGCTGCACATTGGAAGTGCCTGGGGAGCTTTTACGGCTGCTGCTGCCTGGTCCGACCCCTCGGAGGTTCTGATTTAACCAGGCACTGCCTGGACGTGGGGACTTTTGAGTGCTTCCCAGGAAACACTGGTGTTCAGCCAAGGTTGAGAGGCACCGCCTTTAGAGGCAGCGTGTGGTGGTAACCGGAAGTCTAGACCCCAGAGTCAGGCTGCTGGCTTTGAGCCCTGGTTCTGCAACTCATTAGCTGTGTGACTTTGGGCAAGTTATCAAAACCCTTAGTGCCTCAGTTTCCTCATCTATAAAATGGGGATAATAATAATAACAGAGCCCACCTCATAGAATTGTAAAGATTAAATGAACTAATGTGTGATACCCTTAGTACAGTGACTGACAGACACCTAGTAAGACCTCTAGTTATAATTTCTCAATTTTAATTGTTTAATATTTTTTATTGTAAAGTATACACAAAATTTACGATCTTAACCATTAAGTGTGCCATTCAATGGCATTTAGCGTATTTCCAATGTTGTGCAATCATTACCACTATCAATTTCCAAAACTTCTTCATCATCCCAAATAGAAACTCTGTATCCATTAAATACCTCTCCACTGCCCCTCCTCCCAGCCCCTGGAAGCCTCTATTCCACTTCCCTATGAATTTGCCTATCCTATGTACTACATATAAGTGAAATCATACACTATCCTTGTGTCTGACTTATTTCACTTAGCACAATGTTTTCAAGTTTCATCCATGTTGTAGCACATATCAGAATTCATCCTTTTTATGGCCGAATAATATTCCATTATATGTATATACCTGTTTATTCATTCATCTGTTGATGGGCATTTGGGTTGTTTCCACCTTTTGGCAATTGCAAATAGTCTGCCATGAGCATTGGTGTACATATATCTGTTCAGGTCCCTGCTTTCAATTTTTTGGGTATACATACCTAGAAGCCAAATTGCTGAATCATAGGGTAATCCTATGTTTAACTTTTTGCTGTTTTCCACAGTGGCTGCACCATTTTCCATTCTCAGCATCAATGCACAAAGGTTCCAATTTCTCTACATCTTCACCAACACTTGTTATTTTCTGTGTGTTTTTTTTTTCATAATAGCCATCCTAATGGGTGTGAAGTGGTATCTCACTGTGGTTTAGTTATAATTCCTTTTGATCTCATCCAAAGTAGCTTATCCACTGCCTATTACTCTCTCACCCACAGAACACCGCTCTTTACTTTCATGCTGTTATCACAGCGTGTCCTTCTGTTTGTTGAATGTTTGCCTTGCTGAGTAGCCCAGGATTTGACAAACTATGGCCTGAGGCTGCAGGTCAAATCCGGCTACTGTTTGTTTTCGTATAGCCCACAAGCTAAAAATGATTTTTACATTTTAACTGGCTAAAAAAAAAAAAAATCAAAAGAAGAATAATATTTTGTGAAATGCAAAGATTTTCTGAAATTCAAATTTCATTGTCCCAAAGTAGTTTGATTGGAACATGGCCATGCCCTCGTGTTTACACAGACCTGATGGCTCGGTTTGCGCTACAAAGGCCAAGCTGGGAAGTTGGGAAGTTGCAGCGGGGACCACATGGCCTGTAAAGCCAAAAATCTTCGCTAGCTGGCCCTTATAGAAAAGATTTGCCAAATCCTACACTAGATCCTGAACTTAGACACAATCATCCTGCTGTCTCCACTGTCCCGGCCTCGGAATTTGTTGGTGCATTCTCCCATGCTAACGTCAGACACACAAAAAATTCTGAGATGGATCAGAAATCTAAATGTAAAAGCTAGAACTAGAAAATTCTAGAAGAAGACATAGAAGAATACCTTTGTAAACTTGGGTTAGGCAAAGATTACTTGGGACACAAAAAGCACTAGTTGTAAAATAAATAAATTGGACAACA